ACAGAAATCAAAGTGCTACGATCAAATTAAAATAATATTTGAATATTAAAATTATCTTATTAGAAATAGGACCAAATTTAAATGAAATATACAAGTTATGGATTAAATTTGTTATTATTTCAATTTTGTTAATGGTCATTTTACTTCATTACTTTTTTTTAATGAAAAAACGACTAAAATGTAAATTATTTTAAAGTGAAATGATTATTTTATGATCTTTTTGTCGATAGAAAGCTCAAAAAATCATTTTAATATCGGGAATTATTTATGCAATTCACCCATTTTTATTAGGTAAAGTGAATAAAATATATATTTACTTAATGAGAATATTCCCTTGTTGAATCCATGAATAAATAATATATTAACTAATTAGGTGAAATACATAAATGATCCATCGATTATAGGGTATTGTTTAGGCAACCATCAACTTTTTAATGTCTCAATTATCATGTTAATGTCCAATTTAGACAACGGTCAACTTTTTAATGGAGAATGACGAGTTTGGAACATAATGAATAATCGAAGGACTAGTTTGTAACTTTTAATAATCGATGGACTTAATAAAATAATATCTTGTAATCATGAGTCATTCTATAATTTTTAATAGTCGATGAACTTAATAAAACAAGAGATGATTTGTTTACTTTACCCTAACTAATATTGTGTAATGTCTTAAAAAAAATCCTACGTAACATAGAAACTCTAATGTTTATCGATAAAATCTCCTTCGAATGAGAATCAATTTTTTTAATTAATACTCTCATTGAACAATTTCTCTTACCGTCTCATATACATTTGCACATAATTTTAAATAAATTTTAGATTTTTTTTATTAATCTAGGATGGATACAAGTGGTAGTATTTTTTCTAAAGTCTCTCAATCATTTAATAATAAACGATCAAATACCCTGCAGTTGTTGATGCTTAAATCCGGGACCTCTAGAGATATTAATCATCCCTTTAACCACATAGGTCGTTTGATCCGTGCATTTAGACTTTTTTTAATGTTAAGTATTGTCATCGTGTTTAAAGGAGTAATGAATTGAATGTTCGATGAATCATTTGTGAATCACTTGCACAATGTTAGTTTATTAAGTAATAAATGAATATGAATAAAAAAAGGTTATGTTCTGTAAAACTCATAACTCGTATACACGAACCAATACGAGTTGTAGATGTCACATCAGAAATTCAAAATATTTCTTTAATTGAAATGAGTAAAATGTTGTTTCATTCAAACATCACCAGTTTCATAACTTGAACAATTGTTATAAAATGATTATTCAGAGAAAAATCGTAATATAATATTTTTTTGTTACCAATTCAAAATCAGTTTCAAGAAGTGATAGACAATTATGTTCTGTTTCACAAAATAAATAAGATTGTATAACACATTTAATTTAAAACCCAAATTAATTAATTTAATTTTTTAAACATGGTTTAATATCATAATATTTATCCATACTATTAATTATATTTAATACTAACTATATTAAGAAATTGTAGACATTTCATTCTCGTATACATGCCAGTTAGAACTTTTATAACATAATATGATGTCATTATTGTTACCTGTAAATATTTCTTTGATGATTGATGTCAATATCAACTCCTTACTCATTTTCTTCCTTTTTCGTACGTGTGAAAATCATCGCACGCTAAGTATACACTTAGTAAGTCAATTATATAAATATTTAAATTAATGCAACATATAAATATAAATGATTAATAATATTCAATGCAGTGTGATCATTTTACCTGCATTCCAACCATGTTACATAAATTAACATGATATAACCGAATATAAATTTTCTTACCAATATACTTGTCATTTATCTCATAAGCTCGTAAGCTTATTTGTTTGTTTATCATTTATTAACCAATAAACCATAGCCCAATTTAAACCCTGAGGACCTCGTGTGTTCGAGTCAAATATATGCACCGTTGTGTTAAACATGCACTAAGCTTACGCTCTAGTGCTAATCAGGATATGACACATAAGGTCGTGCCCACCACCTACACTAGGTTTACACTCTAGTGCTAATCCGAATATAACACATAAGGTTGTGCCCTCCACCTGCACTAAGTGTCCTTACACAATAGTGCTAATATAAACCTGCAGTTGTTATATTATATGGCATATCAACTATACAATGTCCCTCAATGACTTACTTGGCATATAGTCTATTTTTTTTATTCTATCTATGGCAATGTATATTAATAAAATTTTAATATTAGGTAGTTCATACCCGAAGTAACATTCGTAATAAACATTATATATATTCATGATAAAAATCATATATATAATAACCAGTGATCAATGCATTTTATATTCAACCTTTGACATATTTAGAATATGTCAAATATGTAATATATGAAATAAATATCATGTCAACATAAATAAGGTAGACTTATTGCAAGTCCTACCCAATAATGTATAAAACATCCATGTATAATGTTATGCATGCATTGCACTCACTTTGAAATTATATACAAGCAAAAATATAAGCCTCACTAATCTTTAATTTGATCCTTCACTTCTAATTTGGTTAAATCCCAAAATTGATTATAATTTCATAACAATTTGTACTACCTTTAAAGAAATATTATTTTGTATTAATCTACACCTTTAAAAATTATTCCGTTTATACCAACGGAAATTATACTCAAATAAGAATCTATCCATATAAGACAAATTTAATTTGTACAATTTATGATGAATTTTCAAAGTTGACTGGCAGAATCTGTTTTGAGCAGAATCTACTGTCCCATTTTCTGACCTAAACTCTGTTAAAAATTCAGATCTTTTTGTATATACCTCGCTCTAATATTTTTTTTAGAATTTATGGTGATTTTCTAAACTTATTGTCCAGAACTAAATTTCTAAGCCTCTTCATACTATGCCTTGTTTTCGATATTGATTTTATAACATAACCTTGTTTGTATTGACATCATAGAAATTCCACGGGGCAGTGGATGCATTCCATGTAAATACTGTCGACACAACCGGAGCCGGTGATTCCTTCGTCGGTGCTTTGCTAAGCAAGATCGTCGATGATCCTACCATTCTTGAGGTTAAACACAATATGTATTCCCATTTTTTATAATATTTTCAAATCCAAATTTGTTCTAAAAAAGGGTTGGTTTGCACAGGATGAATCAAAATTAAGGGAAGTCTTGAGATTTGCAAATGCATGTGGAGCCATCACCACAACCAAAAAGGGAGCCATCCCTGCACTTCCAACCGAAGCCGATGCCCTTGCCTTAATCAATGCACCTTAGAGGCCTTCAATTATTATTATTATTATTTTTTATTTATAAGCATCATATATGAACTTGAGAAAGTTCAACAGTATTGTCTTTCTTTGAATGATTGCAGTATAGAGACTTAAATTCTACTTTTCTGTGGTTTATTTCATGTTTTAATCACTGGTTACCAATCTCTCCGATGCAAGCCGAAGCAGGCCTCTGCCCTCCGCCACAAATTGGGATGTCACCGGGCAACTAAAGCAATTGTTCGCAAGGTTGCCACTGATCCTGTTGCCGCTGCTATTGAACTGCTGCGGTATCGGACCGGATAAGAAGTTGTCGTCTAGGAACAAGCTTGTGGCCTCCCCAACCGCTGTCCGTAAGCCAGCGGGATTCGACCGGTCTATCCATTGTACCCCAAGTTGATCACTTGCAAGTTCTCAAAGTTCACCAGGCTCACTGGCAGATGACCCTGCAACCGGTTCCTTTGCGCATTCAACACCTGAAGCAGTGAACCGCTCCCGAGATGAGTGTTCACTTCGATCGAAGTGAGTTGATTGAAGGAAATGTTGAGTTGATTCAGGGACGACAATGAGAGAATCGATAGACTAATGGAACCTGTGAACTTGTTCACACTTAAATCAATGTCTCAGCACTTTGACCCCAGTTCTGTGATATGTCCTGCAAGTTGATTACGGGACAATGTTAAAGATCTCAGTTTTGTCGGAAGCTTTGGTAAGCTACCAACAAACATGTTGGATCCAAGGTCTAATGTATCCAATTTCCACTGTCCATTAATGTCCGGAATCCTCCCTGAGAATTCGTTGTTCGCTAAGTTCATTTGTGTCAATCTTCAGTTTTGGACTGGAGAGGAGGTTTTCCGATAATTCTATTGATTCAATGTTCTTCAATCCATTGATCCATCCTGCAATACCACCTGTGAAGAAATTCCCTGAAAGAGAAAGTGTGGTTAGTTTCTTGAGATTCTTTAAAGTATCCGGCAACGGCCCCCTAAACTGATTCCTATTGAGATCAAGCGTCGTATCCCGCATTATCAAGCGCAATCGACACAATTTGATTCAAACACAAAATCCCCAGGAATTTTGCACCAGTACTATCACATGGATCCACCGAGAAATCCCACGAACTAATGTACGACGACGGTGGAATCTTGTTGGGGTCAATAGAACGCCTCAATGCTTGAAGAGCTTTGGTGTCTGACCTCAACGTTATCAAATGAACAAGTGCAAACACCAAAGCTAAAACCATTGCAACGACAACGGAATTCGAAGAAGACGATGAGATCGAATCATTTCTTTGAAGATTTTATTTGATGGTAACGTAAGCAAGGGAGCATAAGGTAAAGATGGTTACATTTAGTATAATTTACATGACGATGATAAAGTAAAGACGCTGAACATCAGGTAGAAAGATAGTGAACTGGTTTCTTTATGTAAGGCACAAAATTTGATCTTCACTCCTTTCAACCTACTTTCTATCAACAAAAATTTTGTAATTGGGTGAAACAAGCATGGAGCTCACTAGATTTGTCCATGGTTCAAATTATTTATTTAAATTTTTTTGAAGTTTTTTTTGTTGTCTTCCGGTTCCACGTCTTCTTCCTGACTAATCCGGACCGACCCACGTCGCACATCTAATTTTGGTAGATGAGTCACTCAATGAGAATTTACATGTGAATTTAATAGTATATTCATGTTCATGTTCAAAAGCGCATTGAAAACTTGTTCCTATAAAGAAAAATGAAGGCAACATAATCGGAAAGCAAGACGAGATGCATACGGGCTTAGGTATGCGTACATATGAAACTATAAACATATAATTTGATCAAATCACATACAATCTCATCCTAGATCAGGGACCGTGAAGTACTCGTCGTCATCGTCTGGGATCTCGATTCTAGGCTTCTTAAGAGGCATGGAATACTTGGTCGGTCGGTACAAGTTAGTGTTGTTCGACTGCGGTATGGGAAGTTGAGGGACCTCGGCCGGTGCTAAAGCCTCCTGAGGCAATTGATCACCGAAAAGACCAATGTCCGCTAGCCATTCGAGCTCTCCAAGCTCAGACTGCTCTTTCTGCAACAAAACAATGAACAAAAACATTATAGGAAGACGAATAAAATTCAATCGAACTCGAATCGGAGTGTCGGATTAATAATAGTTTCTCACCTTGTTTAGAGATTGAATGTCCGAGAGTTCCAACAGATCATCAACAGCCCATTGGGAAGCAAAGCTTGAGTGCTGATGTTGTGGCGTTTTCATTGAAGTCTGAGGTGCACTCTTGGTGGGTGGCTCCAACACATTGTTTTCAGTCTTATTATTGCAACTCGAACTCAAGGCGACTCGGATTCCGGTGGCGAGGAACCTTTGGTGGTTCGCGGCAAGGCTACCGGCAGGATGGATCGATTCGTCGCAATCACGGCAGAAAAGGGCTCTATCTTCAACACAAAAGATGAAAGCTGCTTTGTCCTGTATGACATGTATGCACAAGATTCAGAGTTCATGTTAGAACATTCAAACTCAACATGTATTAAGAGGATTCAAATCCATAGTACGACGTGATTTATTTCTTATATTATTACTATGTTCGGATCTCGTAACGCTAGTGATAATAAAGATTACAAAAAATTCATGAATTAAACCAGAAAAAGTGAAATTTTGAACCTGGCAAATATCACAAGGAGGAAGCTTGTCGGAAGGGCACTGAAGGAGAAGCCTTTGGTGCTTGCTTGCAAGCTTGTTAGCTGCATGAACTTCAACGTCACATTTAGCACAAAGTGCAGCCTCATCTGCACAACATATCACTGTTGCTTGTGCTCTTTCACAAACATCACACTGGATTTTCATTTTCTTTTTCTTTCACTAAAGCTTGGATCTTTTGATTGAAATCACTCTCCAAACCAAATATTTCCCCTTGTTTCAGAAATTCAAGAGGAACCCATTGTTCAAAACCTTGAGACAAACTGAAGCCAAGAAGTGAACAAGATCTGGGTATACCTTAAACAAGTTTCCTTTCTCGTTCTTTCCTGAGAAAAGAGGGAAGGAAAAGAAAAGAAAATAATCTGGGGAAAATATGGGATTTAAGAGAAGATAAGAGAGAAAGCTTGGAATCGTGGAAGATACAAGAACGGAAGAATTAATGGTGGAAAATCAAAGAGATTGGATTGGAGATAAGATTGTGAAATCAAAATCAAGAAATTTAGTGATTACAACGATGAATTTGGTGGGGTCACCATGTTCATGGATTAGGTGGCTCAGAACACTGCAATGTGTTTAATGCTACAACCTGAGAACGTGTTCTGTGGTCACCGTTCTTGTTGGATATTTTATTAGGCAGTTAAGATTCTCTGGTATTATTTTTACTGGTATTATTTCGTTTTCAGCCCCTATATACTTTATAAATTTTACATTTCAGTCCTTCTTCTCAAGGACGCCAGATGGTACTCTGTTAAGTGTGGCATTCAGAATACTTGTAACGTGAAAAAGACGTAGTATCTTTTAGGTTTTTTTTCAAGGACGCCAGATGATCGGACCGTCTTTTCAATTCATAATAATATTAATCCACTCTTATTGTTTTAATTATTATTTAATATATAGTTAATAAAAATGATTCCATAATTGATTTTAAGATGATTATAAGTTTGATATTTATTTACAATTTTTAAAATATTTGTCATCGTTTTAAGGTTACTTGTAAAATCATTTAATTTTACTTCCAGTGTGTCAAATAGTAATCTAATAATGTAATTGAACTTTAATGTTTTATTTTGATACATAAAGGGACTAAATTCATAGATTTGAAAATAAGAGACGAGAATTCAATTTAAAAGAGTCCTTGGACTGAAAGAAAAATTAAACCTTTAAATTTTAACAACCTTGTTAAAATTGTTAGATAATTAGGTGGCTCAAACTTGTGATATGATGACGTAGAATCTAGTGGTGTTTTTGGAATTTTTTTTATTGAAATATTACTCTTAATAAGATAAATTCTCAGAATTATATATATATATATATATATATATATATATATATTTGCAATTTACAATAAAAAATTAAAAAATAATACGAAATTTATTAAGTAAAAGGATGTGTATAGATAATTAAAGGTTATAAAATGGTCGTTAACATGATTATTAAAAGTTTTTCGACTATTAAAAGTTACAAAATGATCACCTGATTACTCGTTATGTTCTAAACTCATCTTTTTTTGTTAAAATATTAATGATCGTTTGAGTTAGACATTAACATGTTGATTGAGATATGATAGTCGTTTGAGATTCTGAGATCATATTTATCATATCTTAGTCAGTAGGTTAACGTCAAGCTCAGGTTGCCGTCAATGTTTTAACGGGAAAAAAAACGAGATTGAAATATAATGAATAGTTGAATGACTATTTTATAATTTTTAATTGTCAATAGACTCAACAAAACGACATCGTTTAGTCAAAGAACTATTTTATAACATTTAATGGTGAAAGAACCCAATAAAACAATATCCTAAAATCAATGAACTATTTAATATTTATATACTTAACCCCATCTTTAACGACTTAATAAATACATATTAAAAAAAAATTAAATTTTTTTAAAAATTGATATTTTAATAATAATTACCGACATGGTGAATAATTTTAAAAAATAATCCCTTATAGAAACTTTGGTATAATGAGTAATTTTGACAACAAATATTCAAAAAGATTAAGTTGATTAAATAATAATTTTTTCAATAAATATTCAAAAAGATTAACTTGGTTAAATAATAATTTTTCAATAAATATTCAAAAGTAATAGTTAAATTACCGTGACTAAATAATATTAAAAAATCAAATAAATTAATATGATAACAAAAATTTGCATGATAAAAGACTACTCTAACTAAATATATTTTAAGGGTAAACTATGCATTTAGTACCTTAATTATCAGTTTGGTTCGTTTTAATACAGAAACTTTAATTTTTTTTCTCAAAATCATATCTAATGTTTAGTTTTCTTTTTATTTTAGTACCATATTGTTAAAAGTTTAATGTGTTTAGTACCTAAACTATCAGTTTTGGTCCATTTTAGTACCTAAACTTTCTATATTTTCAAAAATTAACATTAAATTTTGAACATGGTACTAAAATGAAACAAAAACTAAAGTTTTTAACGGCAGATACTAAAACGAAATAAAAACTAAACTTTAGATATAATTTTAAAAAATTAAAAGTTTATGTATTAAAACATACTAAAACTGATAATTTAGATGCTAAACGTGTAATTTATCATATATTTAAAATTTTCTTAAATTCTGATTCATCAAGAAAAAACATCAACATCATCGGATAACATTACCAAATTCGAATATTTGTAAGCATGGGCAGTCTACTTATAAAGACAATTTTTTTTAATAAATTTAATATAAAGATATTTTGAAAAATAAAATTAACATATTTTTAAAAGAATATTGATACCCAAAAATAATTATTGACACATTATTTATTTTTATCCATTTAAAGAAAAATCTTTTAAATGATTTTTAAATTTGACGCCTCAAAATAAATTTTTAATTCACCCCTGTACTTATGTATATATATAAAGAGAAACTATGATTTCACTCGTATTAAATGGTAATTATGAATGCATATAGATAGATATTGACGAACTCAAAAGAGATCTAAAGAAAATATAACGGTGATTAAAGATAAATTACAGAAAAATATGTGACACTGATCCAATCATAACAAATTATTATCATATGTTATTCAAATTCGGACTCGGAAATATTTTTTTTATAATCGAAAGAGGAGATAAGATTCGAACTTTAAATTATATTTGAAAATTTCGATTTACGAGTCCATTTGATGATCTTTCTCATAAAACAAACATGAACAACAATAAGCAACCTGCTCGCATTATATTGTTTGTGTGTATCACATCAAATGCATGTCTTCTAACTTCTTAACCAATGACTTCCTACCCAAGTAAACAAAAACACACTAAATTAACCACTAAAATCATTATATTTGATTGATCTTTCCGAAAGAGAAAAAAAGGAACCATCAATGGAGAAGAAAGTCAAGCATAAAGAGGAAGCTTTTTTGCAGCACCCGGTTCTGTTCATCGCTGTTCTGGTTCTCGGTTTCGTTTTGATGGATCCTTTTGAGATTGGACCGGTCGGTGGTATCGAGTTCAGGCCAGTGAAACATGACATTGCACCGTACAAGGAGGTGATGGGAGGTTGGCCTAGGGACAATGAAAGCCAGTTGGGAAACGGGAAGCTCGAGTTTGTCGACGAAGTTTTCGGCCCTGAATCGTTGGAGTTCGACAGCTTCGGTCGTGGCCCTTACACCGGATTGGCCGACGGTCGCGTTGTTCGGTGGATGGGCGAGGGTATTGGATGGGAGACATTCGCCATTGTTACATCAAACTGGTGAGCATGTTCAAAACTTTGTTTAATATGTTGATGGAAATAGAAACCGAATATCAGTCCTTCGTTGTTCGGATTCTTTATTTTTCGAGTTCAAACAACGTAGGACTAGGCAAACATAAACCATATGCTAAATTGTGATGGAAATGCACATGAAATAAAGGTCAGAGAAGGTATGTGCCAGAGGTGTGGACTCAACAACATCAAAGCAATGGAAACATGAGAAATGGTGTGGTCGACCACTCGGACTAAGATTCAACAAAGACAGTGGAGATTTGTACATTGCGGATGCCTATTATGGACTCCTCGTGGTCGGACCGCGAGGCGGACTAGCCACGCCGTTAGCGACTCATGTGGACGGGAAGCCAATACTATTTGCAAACGATCTAGACATCCATAAAAACGGTTCAATCTTCTTCACAGACACTAGCAGAAAGTACAACAGAGTGTATGTCAACGATAATACATAAAACATCACATTCTTTTTGTCAAATCTGATATATAATGAAGGGTTACTTACAGAAGATTATTGAGCAGGTATCATTTCTACATATTGTTGGAAGGCGAAACGACCGGAAGGATTCTCCGATACGATCCTCCGACAAAAACAACTCATGTAGTGTTGGATGGCTTAGCTTTTCCAAATGGAATTCAGTTTTCTTTGGGCCAAACCTTCCTGTTATTCACAGAGACTAGCAATTGCAGGCAATTCCATCTCATTCTTTTTGCCCTTCAAAGTCTATTTTCGATACGAGCGTTCGTTTCGGGTGCGTACATGTACCCGAAACTCGCTCCAGAAACTTATTCTGCATTTTGGTACTGATTTTTGGAATTGTGACAGGCTAATGAAATACTGGCTTGAAGGTCCAAGAGCTGGGACGAAGGAACTGGTGGCTCATTTACCTGGTTTCCCGGACAACGTAAGAATGAACGAAAATGGTCAATTCTGGGTAGCCATAGATTGTTGCAGAACTCAAGCACAAGAGATTCTGGTTCACAATCCATGGATGAGGAGCTTATACTTCAGATTACCAATCAAGATGAAGATATTAGCAAGAATCATGGGGATGAAGATGTTCACCATGATCTCGCTCTTTGACGAAAACGGCAGAATCGTCAAAGTTCTCGAAGATCGAAAAGGTGTGGTGATGAAGTTAGTGAGTGAAGTTAGAGAAGTTGAGGGGAAACTTTGGATTGGAACTGTGGCTCATAATCATATTGCCACTTTATCTTACCCTTGAAGATGTTTGCTCTCATTTTACCTGCAATTCCTCTGCATTTTTTTGTCTAGACTATAAACTGTGTCTTGTTCAACTATCTTTCCTTTGATTATGAACTTCTTTTCTCTAGTTAATCAATGAATTTGCTACATTGTTGAGAAAACCGGATTGAAAACCAAACCGGTTAGATATTTTTTGTTTTCGGTTTAATCGTTCAACCAATTGACTTAAGCGAAGCCTTGACCGTGTTGGCCAAGACTTTGTGCCTGGTAACATTCGAATCGGAAATTCGAATGCATCACAGGCAAGCTCATACCAAATGTTTATAACTCACATGATTTTTAATTATATACTAGAGTGAATTTTCTTGAATTTTAATCTAATTAAAGTTTGATTATATTTTAATTCATTATATTATTTAAAGTATATCCACAAGATTCAAATGGAAGAGTAACCGTAGCCTATACACATACATAGAATAATGATACACAAAATACTAAAGTGCCATGATCGATTAAAAGTTTAGGGACCAATTTCCGTATTGATCCTAAAAGTAATCCTAGAAACTATCCTTTGCTCGACGGATGACACCCAAAGCTTCAGCTTCATTCATGGTGACCGGAATATCTAACACCTGCCGGATTTCTGTACTCGAAGTCCGAAGGAACGGATTGCATGCCTTCTCCACCTTCAATGTAGTCGGTATCTGAAACAACACGTTGAAAATTAACTTATCATGCAAAATTTCGATTACATATGCAACATCATACAAAACAGGTGCTTTCTGAGATCACTGAGATTGGTCAAGGTGCAGCCTATCGAGAAAATCGGAAAAAAAAATACATGATCTGTGAAGTATTGCCAGTCGAACAGATAACACATGCATGCAAACATACAGAACATTAATGCAAAAGCCATTCACTCCTTTCGTCGAATCATATGTCGGAAGAGAACTGTCTAAAGAACACTTAATTAACAGTCGGAGCATAATTGTTAAACCCGGAAATTACCGTAGGCAATCCTTTATTGCGAAGTTGAGCTACATGGGCTGCATATGATCGAAGTGCCTCGTTCTTAGGTTCTATAGATAATGCAAATTTGGAATTACTCTGCCAAAATGGTTACATACACGGGTTAGCACCTATCCGAATTCGGCCGGGAAAATTAAGTGGTTTTTTCTGAAGGATAAATAGACTAACCAAAGTATATTCGTGACCGCAATATATATTTGTATCATCAGGCAGAGACATGATCCTCTGAAGGGAAGAAAACATCTGTGAAACAGAATTCAGCAGTTATGATATTATCAAGAACAATGAAGAATATTTGTTGGATTGTAAAGAATCACGGTGCTCGAAATCTATGTTACTCCATTCTCCAACTGTATTTTTCTTGAATACATGGAAAAGTTTTTTTTAAAAACGAATATAACCTGTGTCAAACACAAACGAATATCTAAAGAACGCGATTCTGAGTGATAGGAGTCAACATTACCTGCTCCGGGGTTCCTTCAAAAAGCTTGCCGCATGAAAGGCTGAACAAAGTGTCTCCGGTAAATATTGCTCCAGAACCCGGAAAGTAGAAGCTAATATGGCCTGCATGACCAGTTTTGATTTACTAACAAGAACAAACGGAAACGAGAAGGAACAAGAAACCATAAAGCTGTAGAACCTAAATCATGACTTTTCTGAGTATTACTTCATTGAATTTGAAATAGTGAAAAATATAATAACTGAATTCACAAATTTTCAATCAAATTGACCAATGAATCGAACCTCGAGTATGACCGGGGGTTTCAATGACTTGCACCTCATGACCTGCAAACATCCACTTGTCTCCATCTTTTAGAACAATATCGATTCCAGGAATTCTATCCTTGTCTATTCCCGAACCAATCACCTACATGGAAAAGAATATTATTATTAGATCGTTGTCTATTCCAAGACTCGGATGTTGGTGTCAAATACGAGTCCAATGTTCAATTTCTTTTCATAAGTTTTCTCATGTATTTGGTGGGTCCTTGGAAGTTCATATCAGTATACACCCTGTTTGAATATTTGTCAGACAGGTACTTCAAGAAAAATAAAGAGTCGAAGCAACATGCTCGTCATTACAAGCAAGATGCAAACACCGTATTAAACAATATATAGTTGCTCTATTTACGTATTGATTTGAAAGGAAATTAGTGGTAGGGTATGAGCTAAAAAAGGTATGGAAAAGTTACTCCAAGATGACATTTTCATACCTTAGCACCATACCTTGCTTTTAACTCTGGGTTCCCACCGGTGTGATCATAATGGTGGTGGGTATTCAATATATAAGTCAAATTCCGGTTTTTCTGACTCAAAGCATCAATAATCGGCACAGCTTCTGAAGGATCAACAACACCAACCGTGCCAGTGTCCGCATCATGTAAAAGATATGCATAATTGTCTTTGAGACATGGTACCTAGAAAAAGATAACCATCAGCAAAAGGTTCATATATAATATACATTTAATGTACATGAAATTAAGTTATTATAATCTCCAACAACAGCATATAGACGAGCGCCGTTTTCAAATTATAAGGGAGAACAAAGTTACTCGAACAGCAGAATCCAGGAAATCAAGCATATGTGATTCAGCATCAATCTTTCAGCTCAAACCTAAGAGCAATATACCACACGGTCTTTTTCCCTCGAAGAAGGGTCGATGGTTACAACTTGAATTTCCTATTTTAGTAAATTCGGGGAAAAAAAGCACGGTTACAACTCGATTATACCTTTGACATCAAGAAGTACCACATAACAGTCCTCTACATTTAAAATAACTCTCACGGAAGGCTGCTGTCCTTGTAAATATTCAAACCCAAATCAGACACCAGATAATGCATTTTATTTCCTAAACATTTGCAATTTTCATTTCAACAGATTTCTCAACATATTTGATTCTGAACAAAATGTTCTCTGTGTGATATAATCGGTAGTTCGGTACTACCTTAGTCAAAATGATGAAAACTAACGTTCGCAACCGAGGAACATAGAAAGCAGTGTGCTCACCAGTTCAATTTGCAACGAGGAAGACGTGTTGGAAACACTGCAAAACTCTGCAACCCTAAGAGACCGACTTGCTCCACGCAAGGTTTTGAAGGGTGTGGATAATAAGCGCATAAACCCATACACGAGACCCTTTCTAAGGCTAAGTTGCCTTATGCCTGGCTGTACACAGGGTCTGCTCCCCACCTAAAGCATCATCAAGGAGGCTTTTAAACTTAAACACCACACTAACATGCAATAAAGAAAAGTTCCCATAATAACAAAAACAATCAACAGATTTCAGACAAGCTAGACAGATTGGGAACGATTAAGCAGATTGTAAACCACCAATCATTTTTCATATATACATATAGTTCTAATCTGAATGAATCGATTTCAAAACAATCGGTATCGGCATACAATATGAAGACAAAACAACAAGTTGAAGTTCATATCAAAAGGCAAGGCTTTATTTTTATGAGTTGTAGGAAATGATTCCATTACCATATAATCAGAAAATCAAAACTCCGAAACATACCGACTATCCTGTACTGAAAATCATTGCCATTCACATAAAACATCACAAGAAAAGACAAGATTCGCATCAAAATGTGGTGACAAAAGAATTTGCAATCTTTTTCAATACAAGATTAAATTGTTCTTGTTAAGGTAAAACTAGCATAAAGCAAGCAAATACAGCGCACCCTTTACCTGATTTAACCATAGAAAGAGTTCTAATTTTCCTAAAATGGGTAGAAGCAAAAATCAGATCTTTACCATAATGTTTTCATTTTCTTCCTAAAAGGGAAAAAGAAAATCCAAATTCAACAGAAGAAAGACACAAATTTTTCAAAAAGAAAATCCATGAGGAGGAAGAAAGAAAGCAAACCCTGGAACAAGGGAAGGAATAGGAAGCCACTGCAGATGAAGCCTTACAGAGCATCTGCATATCACTTTCTCTCTCTAAAACGGGTTCTCCTTTTCGTGAAAGTTCCCTCTGGTAAGATTTGAGAACAAGTACGTGTGTGATAATTGGGCTGTGCCTGTCACTCGATATATAATGATTCTAATTTTTTTTTTCTGTGGAGGAGAAATAGAAATAATGACAAATTAGTTGAAAAAGAACAAATATTTAGGGTAAACTACAACATTGATCACTCAACTATTAAGCACCGGACTTGTGTTTGTCCTCCCCAAACCCCTATATAGGCTATTTTATAAGTTTTTCACTCAATCGGGTGGTGAAATGTGTCACCACTTGATTTGATTACAAAATTATATTTGATTAATTAAATTAAAATAATTAAATAAACCTTTAAATATATTGTAACATATGTTATATTCTGATTGAAGGGTTAATTTATTAAATTAAATTTAAATTAGGATTAAATTGAAAGAATGTATAATTATTAAAGATCAAATATATAATTATACTAATTTTATTAACGGAAATGTTAACGTCAACACTTTCATCAAATATTAAAAGACAATGGTTTGATTGACAACAATTAAGTAGTTAGAGCATCTCCAACGTTGTGCTGGAGTGAAGATAGAGATGCACTGTAGAGGCTCCAATGCTGCGCTAAATGCATCTCCACTTTGAAGATCTCTGGGTTTGCAACGCTACATGTAGCGTGCTACTGTAGCAACACTACAAAAATCTATTTTTTTTATTAAATTATAAGATAGATAAAAATACATTGAAATTAAATAAATAATCATACTAATTTTTTTGTAATTTTTCTGATTTTTTATATTTTTTTTATTTTTTTTAAATTTACAAAATTAATATTATAATAGTTAAATATTGTGAATAAAGTAGAGTTGATGGAAATGTAGAGATAGCGCTGGAGATGAATTACTGTTTAATCTCTAGAGTAGTGATAGAGATGCTATAGAGTAGAGATGAGCGCTGGAGATGGTCTTAAGTGATCAGATTGATAAAAATTTAAAGATCAATGGTAAAAATAAAAGGGCTAAATATTTGAATGGTCAATGCTATAGTTTAATCTTTTTCTAAAGTAAACTCGAAAAAATGAGAATAAAGCTTTTTTTGTGTGGATAATTTAGTTTTTTATTATCTAAAGAGCAGAATCTGCTACAAAATACAATCATAGTTCAGAACAAAAACGATCTACATACAAAAAGAATAAATGATCAATTATACCCCAATGATTACAGAGTGTAATATTAACACTATCGACTCTATTGATATTCCTACCCCTAAGTTGTAAACTTACAATATCCTTAATAGCCTTAAAAATTTCTTCAGCAGATCTGGATCGACCTTGGAACACCCTTTTGTTTCTTTCTTGTTAAATTATGTAGATAAGAACATTGAGTACGATCTTCAAGACCATAGTTAACAAGGATTTGCCTTTCCATGTTGAGCAAGCCCACGCTGTGAATGTTTCCCACGAGCAAGCAGTAAAATGCAAACCATAAAGTGAGAAAATAGTTTCCCAAATGAAGACTGCAGTAGGACATTTTAAAAAAAGATGCTCCTTTGTTTCCAGTTCATAATTGCAGAGGACTCAAAGGCTTTCATTGATAAGCCCCATTCTTTGAAGCATTTCCTTTATTGGGAGCCTATCAAGGAAAGCCATCCAAGCTATCAGACTATGCTTGGGAATATGCAAGGGAAACTATAAAAGTTTCTGCCAAGGGATCTTAGGCTTCTTCTTCCGGATTGAGTCCCAGATTGCAGTAGCTTTTAAAGCTCCTGATGACAGAACTTGGTGAGCCTCTGATTTGAGCTTCAATAATTTCTTTAAACTCCAACTGACAGTGGAGTTTATTTCAACAGATCAGAAAACTTTCTCTTTAAAAAGTATAGAAAGAAACTAAATGTATATCATTTTCTAAGAAATTTTTTTGTTAAATATTTTTATTAATACACAAAAAGTATAAAATATTATTTATTAAATACAACACTTAATCATTTGAGATTGTCTTTGTTTTCCTGTCTCTTTCTGATGGTAATAACAACAACTTTTCAATTATTTGTTAGACTTTTTAATAAGTAGGATAATTACATATTTAGTATCTAAATTATTAGTTTTGGTCTGTTTTAGTATCTAAACTTTCAATTTTTTTAAAATCATACATAAAGTTAATTTTTATTTCATTATAGTACCCGCCGTTAAAAACTTTAGTTTTTGTTTCATTTTAATACCTGATTCAAAATTCTACGTTAAGTTTTGAAAAAAATAAAGTTTATGTACTAAAAGGACCTAAATTGATAATTTAGGTATTAAACTCGTTAAGTTTTCAACAACATAATACTAAAATGAAATTAAAACTAAACGTCAATTATGGTTTTGAAAAAAAAAGTTTAGGTACTAAACTTGACAAAAACTGATAGTTTAGGTACTAAATGTAAGTTTACCCTAAAAAATATTAAGTTTTTTTTATATAATAAGAAACAAATAAAACTTTTTTATGTTGGTTAAAAATATAATTTTAGAGTAAACTATATAAATGGTCATTGATGTATGAATAAATTTTTAATTTTATTATTTAAGTTTTAAAAGTAACAAAATGATCACCAATGTTAGAGTTTTACAATAAATTAATCACTCAACTGTTAACAGTTATTACTGTAATCACAGAAGTCTAATATGATACATTTGGAAAACTGAATCACCACTATTTGATCAAATTGACACCCTTTAACTAGTCATTAAAACACTATTTGATCACATTGACACCCTTTGACTAGTCATTTTAATTCTCACTTAAAAACACATAAATCTGTGATTGATTAAAGGGTGTAAATGTGGTTAAATAGTGTCGACTCAGTTGACTAAACATGCTACATCATATTTAGTGATTGTGATAATTATTGTTAACGATTGAATAATTGATCTATTACAAAAATGATGACGTTAGTGATTATTTTGTTATTTTTGAAATTTAAATGTTAAATATAGAAACTTATTCATACTTCAAAGACTATTTATATAGATTACCGATAACATTTTTTGAAGAAATAGGGGTAAATTTTGCATTTAGCACCTAAACTATTAGTTTTAGTCTGTTTTAATAACTAAACTTTTATTTTTTTCAAAATCATATCTAAAATTTAGTTTTTATTTCATTTTAGTACACCATTCAAAATTTAATGTTAAGTTTAAAAAAAATGAAAGTTAAAGGTACTAAAACGGACAAAAAATTATAGTTTAGGTACTAAATGTGTTATATTGAACGGTGAGTACTAAAATGAAACAAAAACTGAACGTCAAGTATGATTTTAAAAAATTAAAAGTTTAGGTATTAAAACAGATCAAAATTGATAATTCATGTATTAAATTAATAGTTTACCAAAAAAATAAATTTTGATATTTTCTTTAGAGTGAAAAGAAAGTTTCAAGAATGTCGAAGTTTGTCCAACTCAATCTTTGTGTCTACATACACTTAAACCCTGAATTCCAATTCATTCGCCGAGTCAACTCAGATCTCTCTACTCACCGCCTGCTGCTGCCGCAGATGATCTTTTACTGAAGAAATGAACTTTACAACATAGGAATCGAAGGATGAAGAAGAAAGGAGAAATGAAAAAGGTTAAAAAGGTGAAAGATAAGGTCCACGATGGGGAACACGATGATCCTTGGTGGTGGCTAATTCTAAACGGGATCAAACCCTCGTTCCTTTGTATATCAATATTCGCTCTATTGGTTCGGTTCGCCGTTGGGCTTCATCCATATTCCGGTGCCAATACTCCACCCAAGTTCGGCGATTACGAGGCGCAAAGGCATTGGATGGAAATCACTCTTAATCTTCCACCAAAAGACTGGTATCGCAATAGCAGCGTTAATGATCTTTCTTATTGGGGCCTTGATTATCCGCCATTAACTGCTTACCAGAGTTACATCCATGGGGTTTTCCTTAAAACCTTCGATCCTGATTCCGTTGCACTTTTCACTTCACGAGGCTATGAATCTTACATTGGGTGAGCGTTTTTTTGTTGGGTTTTCAGTGTTACATCTTTTGGATTTTTAATTTTCGATTTATCCACATCTGATTGTGGTTTTTGTGGCACAAAATTGCAGGAATTTGCTAATGAGGTGGACTGTTTTATCTTCAGACGTGCTGATATTCTTCCCGGCAGCTCTTTATTTTGTGTTTTTGTATTCTATTAGGCTTGGAACTGGCCGAAACAGCGATGTAGCTTGGCACATTTCAATGGTTCTGCTGAACCCATGCCTGATCTTAATTGACCATGGTCATTTTCAGGTATTGTCAAGCCTTTTTTCCCACTCCATTTCTATTAAATTATGAAAGATTATATTGGTTATTAATTTTTGTTTGGTTCCTTTTGTAGTACAATTGTATCAGCTTGGGTCTTACCATGGCTGCCATTGCTGCAGCACTCTCTCAGAAGGACCTTGTGGCATCTGTGCTATACTGTCTTGCTCTCAACCATAAACAGGTGACTTATGTTTGTTTTGCTACTTATCCATGTTCTCCATTACATTTCTTAACAACAACTTTGTGATGTCATGTAATTCTAGATAGTTGATAAATGCTAGTAGATGTGAAAGGAAGGAATTTTGATGGAACATAAGAAAAGTGTAGATCATTCGTGAGGTACTGCATGGTGTATGGCTATTTTTATTGGGGTCACTGCTAAAGGAAGTTTTGTGGTGTTCTCTTTAATTTAATAATTTAAACAACATTGGGAATGATTAAGTGATGATAAAAGAAAATGAAAAAGAAAGAAAATTGTAGATATGATGCTTTTGCGGGACAAGGTTTCAATGCTTTTGGTTCTTAGTCGGGTGGATCAGCCCTACCCTTGGGTGCTATGTCTGGCCTTCACTAAGGGAAACTTAGTCCTTTTAGAGCTGTCTTGTAATCTACTGCCTGGGTTCAACGGCTCTGGCTATTTTTTGATTTGGTCTGTTCTTGTCTGCGGACTGGATATGGGGTTATTCCCTGGGTTTTTTTTTTGTGATCTTTGAATGGGTTGGTTGTCTCCTTGAGCCATTGCTTTGGGTGCACACTTTTTCCTCCATTTAGGATTAGGGAGGTTTTTTCTAACAATTACCCTTTTATTGATGCTTTAACTTCTGGACGTGATCAAGCTGTTAGTTGTATGAGAGATTTTATTACTAGAAACTTTTCGCAGGTTACATGCACATTTTCCCTCCCATGATGACATAAGTTATTAGAGTATGACCATCTTTGTTCCTGCAGCCTTCGATTATAGATCAATGAAAAGAAACTTTTCTGATTATCGTTATGCTTTAGCTCTGGTAGTGAAGAAGGTCCTTTTAGGCCTATAGTTGTATAAGGGTTCATGTGCATATCTGTTGGAATCTTGAAAAACCAGCTAGCTTTATAATAACTAGTAGTCTAATTTGAGTATTGGAAGATTTGATCCTTACGGACCTTACCTAGAATAATCATATGCCTTTCGTCTGGTTATATGTATTTCCTAGAATAATCATATGGCTTTCGTCTGGTTATATGTATTTCCTGGGCATTGCTTGGTAGGAAAGAGGTATTTTAGGGATAAATTTCATAGTGACTTTTCTATTTCTATCTCAACCATTAAACTAAACATTTTTCCATCCTTATCTATTTCCTCGGTACCAAGAAGTGCCTCAGTGGAACACGTAGGATGTACAAGCATGAGGGCTATATTTCAGTTAAGAAGCTAACAGAGGATACACTAACAAATGAAAAATTACGGCTGAAGAATTCAACTGTATCAAATAGATTAACATGAAAAATCAACACATCCACTCAAAATTTATTTGTTATTTGTTCTATGTAAGATGTGTATTAGTTGGTTTATTTGGGATTAGAATTTTAATATGGATCTTCCTATGTTTTTATGTTTTCCAGATGAGTGCATATTTTGCACCTGCCTTTTTTAGCTATCTGTTGGGTAAATGCCTGAAGAATAAAAATCCACTAGTCGAGGTTACAAAGCTGGGATTGATGGTTATAGGGACGTTTGCTGTTGTCTGGTGGCCATATCTTCAGTCAAAAGAGGCTGCTTTGGCTGTAAGTGGCAGGATGAAATCATTCTCTCTCTCTCTCCTTCTCCTTCCCTCTAAATTTCTTTACTCCTTAGTTAGCTTTCTGTTCTAAGTTAGCTCTTAAAATTTTTTATAGAACTTCTCTTTTCCAGTTTTTCTCTTGTATGTTTGTGTTATTCATGCAGAATTCATGGTGGTTGTTGAAGGCCTGTGTGTTTGTATTTCATATGTTAATTACACCTTTCCATTTTGATTATAAATTTATTTATGGGATTTATTTTGGATTGGCAACTATATATGTTTTTAATTTTTTTGTCAGACGAGCCCAGATGCTTCTCAATTTTTACTCATACTGCATCTTGGTGGTGTGGAACTAACCTTTAAATGAGATTGGTATTCAAGGCAATAAGCAACCAAGGGAATTAACCTTTCCTTGAGATTTGCCCATCAATGTATGCCATATTGTAATTAATCTTGTCTGGAGAGTGGAGAGTATAATTGCTTGAGGACTAAATGAAACTTATGGATCATTCTCATCACAATGGATAGAAAAAATTCTAGCATCCAATATTTGTTATGTTGCTTTTTACCAGAGGTGACGCATCATACTTATAGATTGAATACCAAGTTACCATCTTGTCGAAAGAAAATTTTCATATTGGTTTTCTTTCCAAATGAAATTAATATTGGTGCTTGTTGCAGGTTCTATCTCGTCTGGCACCATTTGAGAGAGGGATATACGAGGATTACGTGGCTAATTTTTGGTGCACCAGTTCTGTGCTGGTGAAATGGAAAAAATTATACACTACACAATCATTAAGGATTTTTAGCCTTACTGCAACCCTTTTAACATGTCTGCCCTCAATGGTTCAACAAGTCCATGCTCCGAGTAGTAAGGGCTTTCTCTATGCATTGCTTAATAGTTCTTTCTCGTTCTACTTGTTCTCATACCAAGGTTTGTATCTCTTTTCGTTATTCATCCTTCTGGCCTTATTTATTTATTTTCTCGTAACGGTTCTTGACATCATTTCTTATCGTTGAAATATGCAGTGCATGAGAAGTCTATTCTGCTTCCGCTTCTGCCTCTTACCCTATTAGCTTTGGAAGAGCGTCGCTTGTTACTCTGGCTAACACACTTTGCAATGTTCTCTTTGCTTCCTCTTTTACATAGGGACAAACTGATTCTACCGTACATGGCACTGTACTCTCTCTTCATCGTTGTCTATTTTGCACCTGGTGGTCCAGGTGGACGATGCAACGAAAGCAAGACTCTCGATCATAGCCAAAAGAAGACCGGGAGAGGCATGGAATTCATTTCTTTCATCACTTTCCACCCGCTTTTAATGGGCTTTCTGGGTTTGTGCTCTCTGATTCTCCATGTAATTTATCTAACCATGCATCCTCCGAATAGTTACCCTTTCCTCTTTGAAGCAGTGATCATGCTTATCTGCTTCTCTCAGTTTGTTTTATTCACTCTTTACTTCAATTCGAAGCAGTGGATGTTATCCAAACATCTAACATCGAAAGATAACCAGAAGAAGCTTATTTGATTATTACACCAACATTAGTGACATGAGAATACATCAGATTTTTATTGGAATGTAGCAGCAGACTGATTTGTTAGTACTTGGTTGATCAGAATTTACATACTTGGTTTGCATGTCTGTATATGCATGTTCCATGATGAATAGAGCTTGCCAAGTGGTCTGCCTCAGGATGGACCGAGGGGGGTGCTCTGGTGTGATCACACCCCCTGATAATTGAAATTTTCATATAATTTAAGTAATTTTTTTTTGTATTTTTTATTAATTAACTAATTTTTTACGTCGAAATTTTTTTGATTTTGTATTCTCCAAATTTTTAATATAATTTCCTAAATTTGCATATAAAATCTTCAGTCCCTGCCTGCTCCATGGCTTTGTTGCTATAAGTATGCATCCGACAGGTACCTATGAGTCTGATAAACACAGCTTCATAGCTCAAACAAAAGTAAGTACATAGATTCTTGTAGACTGAACATAAGCATAATCATTTCATTAATCATCAGAAAGTGCACATTGTCATCCACTGAACGCCAAATATAAATCCACTACAGAAATACTTGTTGAGTTCGGGTGTAAAATGACACCAAATCCAATAAACTAACAATCAAAATCCAGCTTTCTGAACGATCTACTTGGCGCAGCCCTGTTTTCACAGGTCTTGGACACTCAAACATGCAAACATGAAAAACAATGATTTGTAATGGTCAAAAAACTCGTCTGAGAACGTTACAGTGGAAACTATACACGACAGCAATGGAAGCTACGACACATTTCTGCTGCAATCAAGAAACAAATGAGAGATGAACAGGTAAGGCCAAGAGCGTTGAGATGTTACTAACACGACAAGGAATAATGAAAGGATCTATTGTAATGTTGCGGGCAATAGAGACAATAATTTGTTTTATCTACAATTCAACATGCTGGTCCATTCAAAACAAAGAAAATAAGAGGCTACTCTAATTCATGCGTAACAAATCTACCTGGAGGAAGGGACTGCTTCAACTTGTCAGCCTTCTCGGCATCGGACACACACAGTGTGTGCAAGTACTTGGAGCAACGGACCTTGAACTTTACCACATCTCTGCTCTTCTCGATCTTCACCGACCGCGCATCTTTCCTTCTGGCAGTGAGAAGGAAGTCTTTGATCTCATGGATTTGCTTAGGTTGTGCATCATAACGTGCAAATCAGAGATCAAAACCATAAGGCAGAAGGGTGACGCCTTCATTTTCTGAAAGTATCAGCGTATTCTATTTATCCAATCACATCCATGGAAATATGACTGTAAATACATGAAAATTTTAAGAAAAAGATGAATATATCCAATCACAGGTGGCATACAAACATCATCGATCCCAACTTCTTAAGTTTTCCACTACAAAAATCTAATCATCACATTCAGAATCTTGAATCAATGGGCACTTGCAATACACGAACATCTTAATTATCACATTAAGCACCTGCATCTCACTCCAACTGAACTAAACATCTATGTTTAACTAATGATACTAAATCTTTCACAGATGGAACCAATATTAAGCAAATCAAACAAATATAATTTTTCAACCATTTAACATTGAACGCTCACACCCTTAATATTCTTAGTACTCGAACCATTTGATTAATCTAGGGCAAGTACACGACAATGTATCTTCAAATATAACTCTCAACCATCTAGTATTTAAACTATCAGTTTTGATCTGCTTTAGTACCTAAACTTTCAAAAAAAAAAAAAATCAAAATCATACATATCGTTTAATTTTCATTTGATTTTAGTAAATAATTTTTTAGATTTAAAAATTTTCATTTTTACAAATATTTAATAAATATCTTCCGACATCTTTTAATTTTATTTTTAAAATAACAATTCCAATTTCTATTAGTTTGGTTTTGGCTTTAGAATATATAAACCAACAAAGCTAATTGAAAGATTTAAAAACTATATTTAAAGCAAAGAATTAAAATTTATATTTCAACTCTTGCTTTATGCACAAACCACCCCTATACAAGCCCTTAGGTAAGTCACCTACTGCATGAAACCAAGAAGCAAACTACTGAGGGTTCAGAAGCAAAATAAAAACATAACACTAAGCCTTCTACATTTCTCATTTCTTAAACGCGACGATCCCGTCGACGGGCAGTTATTTTCCAGTTCAGCAGAGCCGCACGTCGCACTGTATTAAAGGGGGAACTAAATAGACGAGCTTGACGGGATGGAAGGAGGATCACGGCTACATGGGAGGGGGCGGAGGAGGAAGGATGGTGTTGGCCAGATCAAGGTTCAGTTTCACAAGAAGTTGCGGCATCTGCTTCATTATATCCGGCACGCCATCATTCATCCTGCAGATGGAAATCAATAGAAGCATGTAAGGACCCTACTGATACCATGCTCGAATCGAGAACAATGATTAACAAGGGTAGTTGTAAAGAACTCTATTCTTCTTTTATGACAAACGAATTAAGAGTTCGGTTTACTATAGAAAGGGTGTTTAACAAAAACCGGAACTTACTCATTCATGAGTTTGAGAAGGTTGTCCCGAGTTTGGCAGAGAAGGCCGATATTTCCTGTATCTGGAAAAGGGTAAAGGAGACAAGTTCCATTAGCGACCCGCCGAGACTGATTGAACAACCCTACTGATACCATGCTCGAATCGAGAACAATGATTAACAAGGGTAGTTGTAAAGAACTCTATTCTTCTTTTATGACAAACGAATTAAGAGTTCGGTTACTATAGAAAGGGTTGTTTAACAAAAACCGGAACTTACTCATTCATGAGTTTGAGAAGGTTGTCCCGAGTTTGGCAGAGAAGGCCGATATTTTCCTGTATCTGGAAAAGGGTAAAGGAGACAAGTTCCATTAGCGACCCGCCGAGACTGATTGAACAACACAGAAATTTGGGTTCATCCAGACCAACTGACAGAAACTCTATTCGCTTTTACGTTTTCCGTATTGCAACAATGCTCATAATATATGCCAACTCAATACAGTACCATCCTGGTAATGGCAGATACTGACTTCGAATATTTTTTTATAATAATACACAGACAATTGAAGCTATGGTATGTTCAAGTTTTCTCAGTTTTTCTATGTATCTAACAGATCTTTGGGAGGTCCCAACCTCGTAGTCGTGTCTGAATATACACCGGACATTGGTGTAAACACAAATACTTCAAGAAAAACGAAGAGTAAGATTAACATAGTAAAATTGATCTACTCATAGCATGACTACTTACCTTAAAAGACGCAAGATTTTCAGATACTTGGTTCAAGGCTTGAGCATTCTGCTCCAGAAGTTCTCCTGCCACCCCGCCGATGGCTGTCATACGACATTAATGTAGCTTTTAGATAAAATTTTCCAACAATAACAGCATAGAAGACAAAGGGTTTTTCATGCTTAGAAAACTTTGGCAACCAAAACACTAAATCCATGCTCCGTTGTTTGCGAAACCAATAATCAAGAACAGAAAAACCATTTGATAAATAATTGCAGGCAACTTTTTATGTTGCTTGCATTTGGCAAAAATCTTCTCTTTCACTTTCTTTCTTTATCCGGAATTGTTTAGTTTAGTAAGTTGCGACAAGACAAAACATGGACATCAACAAAGTCATGTCGGAGAAAGCAATGCTCGGTAAAAGAAGGAAAGAAAATATGCTTCACCTGAAACCCTTAAAACTCACAACTTTCTTTTCAAGTAGAGAAAAGAGGTCACAATAACTATGTGCATGGCAGGGATCAAATAAACCCCAATCCCAAACAAAAATACAGAGAAAGTACCAAATTTTCAGTGCAACTATTAGAGCAACAAAATATGAAACAATAAAACTCGAGCCCTACTTCAAGACTATGTATATAAAACTTCTTTTAATATAATACTAAATATATCTTGATGAAAAAGTGAACAACTGATAAATTTAATTAAAATGGCATGCTGATAGGTGTATTTTGGTAAAGTATAAAACTTGCTAGTAAGAATCAACAAAGACTTATGTATTACGAGCGACTTAAAAATTGTCAAAGATAAAATCCGACCTCCGAGTGGAATGCCATCATTATAGTCCACAGGAATCATTGGGGTTGGATATGGGGGATTACTAGATTGACCAGCAAAATGAGTAGTCTTTGCTGCAGGATCAACTACTCTTTCCTGAAAGAAAAACAAAAATTATTGTCAAGTATCTATTGGCCCAAAATATGATCTTAAAATAAAAATATTGCCTTATTTCTCATCATATCAACAAAATAATATCATGAACTGGAAACTATGAAAGAAGACTTTCTGGTTAAGTCTAAATATCAGCCAAAAAGGTGAACTTATCATCAGACAAATGACTATACTAAAGAGGCATATCTGAAGAGATGTAAATGACTGCGGATAATAATGAACCCAAAACAAGTTTATCAAGGATAAGCGATACCTATGAAGTACGAACCTAAGGTAACCGAGCAAAATTGTACCAAAGAAATAGCTGCTTAGCAGAAGGAAGAAATTCAATCCCCAACAAACATCTATACTAAGAAAAAATAAACTATTGCTCAATAACTCTCGAGTTCAAGGAGTTTCCTTTGACTACCTCACATGTATAAGAGGGTTTTCGATTGTGAATGAAAGCATTCATTCACATCTCTTCAGATGTGCATGGTTGGAAGAGGAGTTAGATGGATAAACAGAGAACTTCTGCAGGTCAGTTTCACAAAGAGATAATTTACTTTTAGTTTATGTCTAATTTTATGAATTCTAAGAAGTAACTACGAAGGGTCTTAGGAGCAAGCGGAACACAAATTAGTGCAACTTTGCACACATAAAGAGAAAAAAACAGTAAATCATACCTTTTTGTCTTTACTTTTTCTGTCATGAATGTGCTCTTCCTTCCTTCTCTTGCTAGTTTCCTTCTTCTGCGTAAAGCATAAATCAAATCATGCTCTTATAATACACAGATACATGCATAAACAACATTTTACTATGTAAAAGCAGAGCAAATATCCTCTGGACCAATCATAAATGTTTCATCTTCTAAAGTAGATTTAAGATGAAACCATCAAAATAACTGATAGGCTTAAAAAGAGAAAAAAGCTTACATTCATCCATCTGCAACGCAAAGCCACATCCCGTACTGTCTTATTTTGCAAGTTCATGGCTATCTTCGCGTAATGAGTTATGCTCAGATCTAATGCAAATCTGCAAGAAATACCAAGGCAACACTGTGAAAATTAAATTGACGAACTCAATTCAAGGGGGGGGGGGGGGAGGAAGAAAAACAATTCAGTTTGTTAACCATGAAAGTAAAGTACTCAATTAATTGGCATAAAAGAAACAGAATACAAGACAAGTTGAATAACATAAGTAAAAATGATCATCCAGTATTAGTTAATAGCAACGGAATATGAAAAAAATGAAAGGGAGGGGAGCGAAGAGAAGATAGGGACTATTGTCTCTCCATTTGTTTTTCTCCCTTGGGAAACTTAGATACCAATCTCACCGGTAATACCTCCTCTAAGCATGGTTGTTTGAAAAACTTGGTAAAATTGTTTATTTGATTCTATAATTAACTGAAGTTAAGGAATATAATCAACTCATGGAAAAAATGGTTAGATTATAATGAATGCATATTGTAAAATGAAAAACATCAGTGACATCTATGCATATTAAATCACTCACCAATTTCTGTCTAATAATTGACTCAAAGAAATCCTATCATACCAATCCTAATGACTTACCAGATTAGAAGAAACAATTGGAGACTCAAAGAATAATTGTACCGAATGCATTTCTCAACACCAAATATCAGCGTTTTATAATGGCCAAAAGAAACGGTTGAAAGAGAGAATCTGTTCTTTGCAGTCATTGCCTAACAAGTGCAACAAACTGGATGGGCAATTGCCAACTACCTAATTAAGAACTTCAGCAGATACCTTGATGCATGACGCCCCCTCTTATGCGTTACTTAAGAAATAACTGTTCTTAAGCGATACCCCTTCTTATGCTTTACTAAAAACAGTAAATGTTCTTTCTCGCAACAAGAGTTTTATGTTGACTGGACCACAAGAAAAGTGGCAAAAGACTTGTTATCAAGTCATCAATTGATACCAGTACCGGGTTCAATGCTTGGACAATCCCTATCCCCTTCCCCTTCTTATGAACTCCAGCAGAAGTCTCAATGCATGCTACCCCTTATGCGTTACATAAAATAAACGTTTTTTGTGCAACAAACTACACATATATAAATAAGGAATCTGATTTCAATTTCCTAACTGTAATGAACTGGATGGAAATTTTCCTGACAAGTAACGCATAAGAAGGGTCCAATCAGTTCTTTGAAATCATTTCCTAACAAGTGTAATGAACTGGATGGACATTTTCCAGATAATTAAGAATTTCAGCAGATGACTCAAGATGAGGTACCGATTCTTATGCGTTACTTGAGAAATAACTGTTCTTTGCAGCAACAATATCTAGAATTTATTACTTATAAAATGGGTAGGAGGCTTCTCTTTGGACCCAATTCTAGTTATTGTTTAAGCTTCTAGATGCATATTTGCAATATCTCTCTCTTATTACTAAATAAAGCATGAAGCCATAGCCCACCAATTCCGACACTACCCTTCTATAATGCAAGGTCCAAGATCATTGCCCTCTATCTCCTTACGTATATCTATAAAAGTATCTTTTATTCTTCTTTCTTTACATTTATGAAATGCTCTTCTTGCTTGTTCTTGTTTGTTCACCTCATTAATTGCCAACCAAATTATTAAGAAACATTTCTATATTTTTTTTTTGTTTTAGATGAATCTAATTTTTTCCTCATATAGTTAGATGTTTGATTAAGGAAAACCAGTCAAGAAAACTTCTCATACTATTGTGGCTTGGAGGAAGGAACGAGTTTCCCTCAATAAACTGATTTATCGATCTAAGCTCGAGTTCTTTTTCCTCAAATGCCAGTTTGAAGAGAACAAAAGATCATGATATCATTTATCTAGTCTTCTGAGGGATAAAATACTGAATAAAAGAAGCCTTAATAAGGAAATTGTCGTAACCGGTTTTCGTCCGGGCACGAAAATTTTATTTTTGGCGGGAAAATTGATGTGAATAAATGGTTTTTTTTTTAAATAATTTGGAGTCGCCATCGGCCTTTTGGGTTAGGTAGGTCGAATACCTAAAAATCATCTTTTAAAAGTGTTTTTAAGAAAACATCAGTTAAAAGATAAACTGATCTGCGTTTAACCAAAAATTCATTCTTTTTTTATTAATAAAAAGGGATTCGTGGTCGGTTACGTTTAGGGAAGGATTTGCACCCCTACAACGCCCAAAATTGGTACTTTTTAATTATAAATTGTCTCTTATTATTAAAATTTAAAAATTCAAAAATATATTTAATTTATAATCCTATTATTTCAAAATTATATAAAAATATTTATTTATTTAAAAATATCAGAAAAGAACTTCTAGGTGCCTTAAGACAGCTCTTTTCTTTGATATTGATAAATATTAATTTAAATAATATTGTTTATTTTTTAATTTTAAAATATCAGAATAGGACATCCAGTTGTATTAAGACTGTCCTTTTCTTCGATATTAAAAATAAATATTTAAAAATTACTATTTATTATATATATATTTATGAAAAAATATTTAACAATATAATAAAAGAAAAATATTACTAAAACAATATATTTAAAAACAATAAAATAAATGAAAACATATAAAATAACTGACTAAATTACAGTAAAAATAAAATCAAAAATCTAATTCATAATTAATCAAAATTGTAAGGATTAAATATGCTATTTCTTTATTTTATTTATTTAATGACAAAAATAAAATTATTTAAAATTCGGATATTAAAATAAAATAAATTAAAAATATAAACTAAGGATTAAAATATTATTTATTAAAATTAAGGGATTAAATCTGTTATTTATCCTAAATATATTATTTTAATATAAAGGACTAAAATAAATAAAATTAAAATTTCGAGATCAAATTAAAAGGTTCAAGATTTGATTCCAGTGACCAAAATGAAAAGTTACAAAACTATGGTAGCAGCGGGTATAGTTTACCCACATGAGAAATTACCGATATACCCCTTCCCCAAAACGGCGTCGTTTGGGGAAGGGTTTAAAAACCCCTCAAGGCCGGCCCTTAAGGGCCAGCTTCTCACTTTCATCCTTCCTCTTCTCTCTCTAACTGAGAGAGAAGAGAAACTCTCTCGTCTCTCTCTAATTTTCTGTCGCCGGCCGGCCACCACCAACGGCGTCGATCACCACCGCTGGTGGCCGGAATTCTTAAATTACCCTAGAGTGTAGATCTCGACTTCCTAAGGCCGAATATGGCATTCACTTGTCCTAAAACGCTTTAGATCGTTCTAGATCTAAAATAAATCGAAGGTTTTACCTTCGGTTTTACAACGATTCCGGTGGTTCCAAACGGTTTGGAGGCTTTTATGATGGTAAGATGCTCCTTTTCCTCTTCTTTCTGTTGATTTGTTCTCGTATTCTGCTCTCTGTTTGGTTCACTGTTCTTGCCGTGGTTTTTGTTTGTGTGTTGGTTGCCTCTCTGTTTTGGTTATCTCCGATTCTTCCTCCTCCCTTTTTTTTTCTTGCAGGTGATGGTTGTTTTATAGCCTCGTCGGAGCTTGTCTCGGACCGGTCTCAAGAGTGGATTTCGGTGAGTCACCGAACTGTGTGGTGACTCACCCTTGGTATCGACGTGTGGGGGCAGCTGCTTCTGGAAAGCTCGACGAGGCCGGCGTCATGGAAGCAGCAGCGTCGGCAGCAACTGGTTGGACCATCTGGAACTGAAGCGTCGGCAAGGCAGCTGGAGGCAGTGGTGGCTCCGCGTGGATGTTCTTGAAGCTTGGAGGTGGCGGCCGGGATATAAACCTAGGGTTGTGAAACCCTAGGGCTTCTGGGAGTTGGGCCAGAGTTGTAATCAGGCCCCGATCTTGGGCCTTTGTATATATATATATTTATTAATAATATAATATATAATAATAATAATAAGAAAAAAATTAGTGTTTACAGCTGTTCTTCTTTGCTCATTTTTGTATTAACAAGAATAGAGCAAAGACAAAAAAGACAATAATTTTTTTCATTTTAACTTATTTTGAGTAATATGGAAATGTTGAAAACATTCTGCCCAGAGGTCTTATGAATGACCCTGAGGGTTTGAAAACATCAAAAAGCTCCTGAAGGCTTTTTGGAAACATCATGCACTGAAGGGCTTACAGATGACCCGAAGGATTTGAAAACATCAAAAAGCTCCCGAAGGCTTTTTGGAAACATCATGCACTGAAGGACTTACAGATGACCCGAAGGATTTGAAAACATCAAAAGCTCCCGAAGGCTTTTTGGAAACATCATGCACTGAAGGACTTACAGATGACCCGAAGGCTTTGAAAACATCAAAAAGCTCCCGAAGGCTTTTTGGAAACATCATGCACTGAAGGACTTACAGATGACCCGAAGGATTTGAAAACATCAAAAGCTCCCGAAGGCTTTTTGGAAACATCATGCACTGAAGGACTTACAGATGACCCGAAGGATTTAAAAACATCAAAAAGCTCCCGAAGGCTTTTTGGAAACATCATGCACTGAAGGACTTACAGATGACTCGAAGGATTTGAAAACATCAAAAAGCTCCCGAAGGCTTTTTGGAAACATCATGCACTGAAGGACTTACAGATGACTCGAAGGATTTGAAAACATCAAAAAGCTCCCGAAGGCTTTTTGGAAACATCATGCACTGAAGGACTTACAGATAACCCGAAGGATTTGAAAACATCAAAAAGCTTCCGAAGGCTTTTTGGAAACATCATGCACTGAAGGACTTACAGATGACCCGAAGGCTTTGAAAACATCAAAAAGCTCCCGAAGGCTTTTTGGAAACATCATGCACTGAAGGACTTACAGATGACCCGAAGGCTTTGAAAACATCAAAAAGCTCCCGAAGGCTTTTTGGAAACATCATGCACTGAAGGACTTACAGATGACCCGAAGGCTTTGAAAACATCAAAAAGCTTCCGAAGGATTTTTGGAAACATCATGCACTGAAGGACTTACAGATGACCCGAAGGATTTGAAAACATCAAAAAGCTCCCGAAGGCTTTTTGGAAACATCATGCACTGAAGGACTACAGATGTGAAATAGTTTACTAAGTAAGAAACTATGGAAATTGTTTT